AGGCTATCGTACGTGTGGGCACAGAGTTATTTGTAGTTTTCTTTATCATCCCATCGTGTCCAGGGGATCTGTAGCGATGTCCCGCTCTCATTTCTGATGCACGGCATCGTCTCACCCCCAGTTCCACCTTCTGTGATTTCAGTTGCCCATAGTCAAAGCAGGAAGAATTCATATATGTGTGGTGTGAATGCAAACTTCGGACGTGCGGTAGTCTCTTCTAAGAGTTAACTAGCCCTGGCCAGTGTGGCTTAGTCGCTGGGGCATCATTCCTCAAAGCGAAGGTCGTGCGTTCAATTCCTGGTCAGGGCACATGCCTGGGCCGCAGGTTTGGTCCTCCGTCAGGGCACACACGAGAGGCATTCAGTTGGTGTCTCTCTGTCACATTCATGGTGCTCTCCCTCTCTTTCTCCCTCCCTTGCCCTCTCTCTAAAAAATAAATAAGTAGTCTTTTTTTTTTAAAGTTATTCACTTGCTGCATTGACTCAACAGTCCCATTCCTAGATATTTACCCCAAAGACCTGAAAACAAAAAAGAACCACACAAAGATGTGTCCAGGTGTTCATCAGGTCTTACTCATACCAGCCCAAAACTGCAAGCAACCCCGATGCCTGCGTAGGTCCATGTAATAGAACACTGCTCAGCAATAAGAAGGAAGGGACTTGCAGCAACGTGGGTGAATCTCAGAAGTGTTACGCCTAGTGAGAAGCAAGACACAAAAGACTCCGCCATAGGGTTTCCATTTCTGGAGAAGGCAAAACCGTAAGGACAGAAATCAGATCGGTGGTTGCCAGGGGCTGTGGCCGGGGTGGAGGATCAACTGCAGAGAGACAGAGGGGAACTTTTGGGGGTGACGGACATGCCCTATATTTCCGTTGCAACAGTAGTTGCATGAATAGATAGATACAGCTGTCATAATTCAGCATTTTTTTAAGAGTGAACATGAACTCAATAAACCAGGAAAAAAGTGGGGGCAGGTGGGATAGGGAATCTCACACTAGATGTTTTGTTTCATTTTGTTTTGTTTTTACAGAAGATTCATATTTTATTTTCAAGTGACATATTTACAATCAAATGTAAATTAAAGGCCTGCTTGTACACTGAAGCCACGTCCTTTGGGTGGTTCAGCCAAAGAGGTGAGATCCCCCCCCAGCTGGCTCACAAGAGAAGCATCCACTCCTTGGCCCAGGTTTTGGAGTTTCACCAGCTTTGAGCTCATCAAAAATTTCTTCTATATCCTTAGGTGTCCGATCCTCATAGTAGTTGTCATTTATTTGAACCATTGGTACATTGACACAGGCCCCTAAACATTCCCCCTGTATAACAGTGAACAGTTTGTCAGGTGTAGTCTCCCCAGCCTTTATTCCAAGCTTTTTCTGAATGGCCTTCAGTGGTTTTGAAGCATGCACAGTGTAGTAGTGCCGACCTGAATGTGATGCTTTCCAACTGGCTTTCGATTATACGTTGTATAAAGTTGCTACTTCATAGACTCTCACTGGGTGTACTTGTAAAACCTCTGCAGTCTTGTCCACAGCAGAGATGGGCAGCCGTCCATTCTGTCTTTGGGTGAATCCAGGACTGGGGCACAGCTGCTGCTTCATGCCCTTCCAGGTAGTTTTTTACAATTGCTTCTCTTCTCTTACAGTTTTCTGGTGTGAAATCAAGTGGAGTATCTGGGTTGTTCTCAGGAGTATTTCTGTGCACAAATAAGGCTCTTTCAGCTCCATTTTGCACAGCTGTCTTATGCAGACTCCTTGTATGTCTTCCCCACTGGGCGGTGAGTCCAGCCACCCGGGCCCGGAGTGCTGCAGAGAACGTGGTGGGCAAAACTGCTGGTATTTCCCCGCGGTGCCAGACGAGGATCCCCAGAGCTCACACTGTATGTTAATTGGCACAATCTGAAGTAGATGAATATAAACTGTAGTAAAGGAAATACAAGAGGAAATTTAATAACTGGCACTAACAATTTTTGCCTCTGACGTTATCTATTTCCCAGCCACATAAATGTGTCTATTAGTAAGGACACCGTTAGGAATTCTAAGTGAGCCATATGTTATTTTCAAACATCTCTCTCTGGCATGGTAAGGGAGAGACCACCTGAGGTCATGTAATATAAATATATTTAACAGAGTAACCAAAAAAAGTGCTAAGAATCCTGAGACCAGGACACATGTCTTCAGAAAGTTGCGTAGGACAAAAATAGAGACGGCAGTGTGGACGGCCTGGTTTATCTGTGTTTGTCGCGTCCCGACCCAAGTCTGCTCCCTCCAGAAACTCCTGTGCTCCCTTCTTCTGGTTCCTTGTTCTAGAAGTAACGTCACCAACACCTGTGTGGTCCCCCCAACTGGAAATGTCCGTGTCATCTTTGGTTCTCGTAGCTCTTTCCCCATTGTTCTCTGGGTTGATTTGTGAAATATTTTTTAAATATCAAGGGTATTAGCGCTTGTCTGTCTTACGTATGTGACTGTTTCCTAGAGTGTGGTTACCCTTCTGTATAGTATTTTTGTGTGTGTGGTATGGCTGTTTTAAATTTCTGTGTGTTCAAATTTACCAATTTTAAGTTTCTGTGTGTTCAGATTTACCATTAGTTTTCTTTATGGCATCTGGGTTTCATATCGAGTGTGGAGATACTCGAGCCATTTTATCCAGTAAACATTATGATCACGGGCCTTAAGCCTATGAGCTTTTCAAAAACCTGTAAGTATATTTGAAATAAAATATTTTTTGTCCCGGAAAATAAAAGGAAATTTTACAAATATAAATAATTAAATGTTTATCGGTCCCTAGCAATAGAACACTGTATCAGCTCCATTTATTTAGTGCTCACAAACATTTTTTTAAGTATGTTGCTATGTCCCACTCCTTGAATTTTGGCCCCTTCTCCCTATTCCTGCTGACACTGGCTCATTTCAGGCCCCTAAAGAACTACCACCAGCTCCTGATCGGCCTCCTGCCACAGATTTCTCGGCCCCGCAGGTCTCTCTTCACAGAATGATCATCCTGACACGGAAGCCGAATTTCACCGCTCCCCTGCCTTAAAGGCAGACTCCTCAGTGCGGCTTTCGAGGCGCCCTGCACAGTGGGGTTAAAACCCAGCCTCTCTGCTTTAGACCCTCCACTGTCTCCGGGAGCCTGCAGCCGGGTTCCCTGTGCCCTGGCCCCTTCTCACTCTGCAGCGCCTTCCCCCTCAGTGTACCTGCGGTGTTACTTGGTCCTTCAGAGCCCAGCTTCCACACTACCCACTGGTGCTGTTTTTCCTGTTCCTCACCCCCCTCCTCCTCCACCTTTGCGTGGTGTGTGCGTGTGTGTGTTGTCTGCCACAACACTTATGCATTCCTTTGTGGTAGGGTTGCCGAGTTACATATTACTCTCCCAGCTGTTTTATAATAAATTCCCCCGAGCAGAAATCTTGCCTGTATCCTCGATAGGACTGATATAGTGTGTATTCAATAAAATACTCATTGAATCAAGCTCCTTATCCTTCTTCCCTTTTATCTAACCTTTTGTAGTGGCTGTTGTGTAATGGATCATACCACAAAAGAGTGATAAATGTGTATGAAGGGCTTAAAATGTAGCTTTAAAAAAAGGTACCCGCCACCTAGCTAGAAATAGAACCTCGCCCACATCTGAGAGTGTCTATCCATCCAATCACACAGCTTCCCTGCACTCCCAGCCCCACCCATTAGCACTGTCCCCAAATTGTATATTAACGATTCCCCTGATCGTTTCATGGCATAGTTGTGTCTCTGAACAGCAGTGTTTAGTCTTGTCTTTTAAAATTTTGTTGAAACGCAGCCACGCTGTGATACTGTGTTGGGGTTCTCTTTCCTTCACCATCATCTTCTGGGTGTGAACTCATGTTCATTAGTTTTCGGTGTTGTGTGGGGTTTCACTGTGTAAGTGAGCAGTGTCTGGTGTTCGCATGTCGTTCCGCACGGGCACTGGGTGCTGCACACTTGCCGTCTGCTGTGAGCAGCGCTGCCGTGTGCGTTCTCGCCGGCATCTCTGGGGAGCCCAGCCCCTGCAGACGTCCCTGCAGAGCATGCAGCTGGGTGCAGAGGAGCTGAGTCAGAGGTGTGCCTTTGTCTCGGGTCAGTGTGTAATGCCAACCTGTCCAAAGCGCCCACGCCACCCTACCCCCTCACAGCTCAAGGGGAGTGTCCCCTGCCCCTGTCCCCTTCAAGGCTTGGCACTGTCTAAGCTTTCATTTCACCGACCTACTGGCTATGAAGTGGTGTCTTCTGGTTTTCCTTTTCATTTACCTGGTTACTAATGTAGTTGCTCACGTTTCATGCTTATTGCCATTTCTGTTTCATCTCGTGGGAAATGCCCATTTTGCCTTTAGCCCACATGTCTCAGCACCATCTAATTAACGGGGCTTTGCTCTCCCAGAGACCTGGGATGCACAGGAGTGGAAGGCTCTGTGTTCTAGCCCTTCGGTCCGTTAGTCCATCCTGGGGCAGTGCTGCACCATCTTCATAATCGGTCTTCGTATTATAGGTCCTTGTCCCCTTCCTGTGCCTTGTGTGGTTGGTGCCATTTAGTGTTTGGTGGGGAAGAAGATTGTGGGAAGGGATGGTCTCATACCTAGGCCAGCTTCCGTTTTTTCATGCACAAATTTTAAAGTTCAGTTAGTTACCCACTTACCTCCTCTTCAAAAACAAAACATAATTGTTTCTTTGACGTTGACAAAATTTTTAGCCTTTTAGGATAGTCGCAAACCTAACATTATCCCAATCCCAGTATAATAGATACTTAAACATTCTTTTTGTTCTTGCCCTTCGCCCCATCCTTAAGAATAGGATCCAGAAACCTCACTGTTAAAACGTGTGTTTCTTCACTTGCTTGCTTCTGGGCAACCAACAACCCATCTCGCGCCGCTGACACTCACAGGTCTGCCTGCTGGCACAGTCCCGGTGGACAGGCCCGATCGCCTTCCTGCCGAAGTCTCCTTCCTCTGTCCCCCAGTAACCTTGTCTCCGTATCTGTCCATTTCCCGTCAGCTGCTGCCTGTGAGTTTTTGGACATCGTGGAGCTGCTGCTCCAGTCCGGCGCCGACCCCACCCTGCGGGACCAGGACGGCTGCCTGCCGGAAGAGGTGACAGGATGCAAGGCCGTGTCTTTGGTGTTACAGCAGCACACGGCTGGCCAGGCTTAGACAGAAAGACTGGGAGGCACCGTCCAACAGCATCGGGCATCGGCGACAAAAGAAAACTGGGAAAACAATGCTGCTTTTACCACCCATCTCTGCTGTCTGTCTGCTAATAAAACCGGTTCTGAGGATCGGGGATTTTGAAGTCTCGGCGGTTCATTCTACTTGCATGCCCTCCGACCAGTACAGCTTTGGTGCTGAGCATGTGCACCGTGCGTAATGCGATAGGCTCTGCTGAGCGAGCTGTGAAATGTATCACTGCAGTCGAGGGTCAGGGGAGGAGACACATCGTATTTTACAGCATTAAACATGGCTGCCCTTTTAAGGAACTTACAGAAGCAAAACATGACTGACAGTTCGACACTGACAATGGGGGGAAGTTCCTTGAAATCCTGGAGTGGGGGTGACGTGATCTGGTGGCATTTTGGACAGTGGGTCCTCATAGGGAGCTAAAATGTCCAGCCTCTTGGCAGACAGAATTGGGGGAGATAGGGAAGAAGAGGGGTGTTAAGAAAGCAAAAGCAAGGGCACAATTTTATCACATCAGGGTATAGAAGTCAGAGGAAAACCTCGAAACCTTGGGCATTTCAGAGTGATTTAGTGACCTCACTGTAGGTTGAAACACAGGGTCTGGAGTCCACTTCACGGTCAGGACACCTTACTCTCACCCTCACATGGCAGGGAGGAGTTTCCCTCGACTCCTCCCCTGCCATGTGGCCTTCTAATTGGCTGCGACATCCCTGTCACTGATGGTGGCAGTCTGTGTATGAGCTCGGGCCTGAACTGTTGAGCCTCTTTGGGTCTAATGTGAAATAGCCATAATGCCCAGTCCTTAGGGGTGACTCGGGTTATTTCTGGATACCAGGAGAGCATCCGTTTTTTACCAAAAGCATAGACAAGTAGAGCACAGTTTTTGTGAATGGACAGACAAGTCTGCCCACCTTGAAACCGGCTCGTAAACTTCTCCTTTAAGCCTAAAGAAGCCCATCTGGGGGGTTTCATGACATTTCTTACTGTATAAGGAAAGGAGACAAGCTGTGATGGGGGAAAAAATGAAATAAGAGGTTGAGGTGCAAACATCGCCACTTAGCAGTAATTTTTCTAATGTGTCCCCGTTAAGTAACAAGCAGCCAGCTCTCTTAGTGGAGTCCCCGGCCCTGGCAGGAGTTTCTGCAGCTCCAGCCGACCTGTCGGAAAGGGGCTCACCAGGCCCCTCACAGCAGAAGTGAGACACGGGTGTGCCGCTCGCTGTGGGACTGTTCTAAGCAAACTTCCTGTTTTCTGAGCTGTAAGCCGCACCATTCCCCAAACTCTGCATTTGTTCTAGTGTCTGTGGACGTGACCTGCGGGTTAGTACAGGCTGAAGTGGTACTGCGCAGCCACATCGCAGCCTGCTATTTAGCTGAACACTCATGGTCCACATTACCTGAGTGGGTTTAAGAAGCCTCTTCACTAGTTACAGTAAAAGTGCCTGAGACGTCGCGTGCAGCTTTCTACCACTAGTGCGGCTGACCCTGGAATGCCACGGGTTTGAACCACGCAGGTCCACTCACACGCAGGTTATTTTTCAGTGAATACTACAAATGTGTTTTCTCCTCCTTATGACATTTTCTTTTCTCTAGCTTATTTTATTGGAAGAACCCAGTACAAAATACATATAACACACAAATGGCATGTTGACTGGCTGTGTATGTTATTGGAAAGGCCCCCGGTCAACAGCAGACTGTTAGGAGTTAAGTTTTTTGGAGGCGATAGTTACACCTTGGTTTCTGATGGCAGAGAGGGCTTGGCGCCCCCACCCCGTGCGCCATTCAAGGATCAGCTGTTCTTTGTGTATTTTCAGGGCATTAGCAAATCAAAGAGTGTTTATTCATTTCAGATGTACAGGGTAGTTATCCGAGCAAGGAACTATCAAGAACCCCTTTTTCCATCTTTCCTTTGTAATTTGATCGTGCTGTTTCCTAGACAAGTTGCTGTATAGCCTGTTTTGCCACATCTAAAACTATAGATTGTTCTTAAGCAAAGACTGTCACTTGGTATTTATTCATTTTATTGTGAAGGTTTAAAATTTACACTCAAAACTATCACTAAAAATAATCAATATTTTCAACCGTGTTTTAAAACAGGTTTTCGGAAATCTCTTGTCGCCGGTATCTGAATTTTTAAAAATTTTGCTGTCACATTAACAATCTGTGGGTTATCTCCCTGAGCCTTAGGGAGAGGTTTTGTTCCCAAATGTCAGAGAAAACCGGGTCTTGGTTTGTTTTTATTCCCCTTAAATGACTGAATTGTTGTGTAGTACCTCTCACTTCAGCCAGATGGAGAGTCCCATTGCCCAGAGCTGCGGTCATGCCCACGAAGCAGAGGGCACTGGTGGACTGGGGCAGAGAGCCGGCCGACTTCTGGATGCGGGGGAATCGCGTTTCTGTACGTTCAGCAGGACGAAACAAAGACACGCTTGGATGCAATGTGAGTTTCCTTCTGCTGCCAGAACTTTCCTTCTCTGGACAAACTAACGATGTCTGAGCCAATTAGTATTTTAAAATATCATAGACAGCCTTTCTCTGAAGGTTCATTTCTGGTCATGAGTCAACAAGAACTTCATTCGTTCAGTACTTTTTTAAAACTAGGATTAGAATTCACTCACCTCTTTTTTTTTTTTCAGCGTACATGAGTATTTTCAGACTCCGGTCGCCACTGTGTTCTCAAACCGGAAACCTGTGGGGCTGGAGGACTCATAACACCAGCTCGACAGTGAACAACAAAAGGCGTTTGTCACAGTTGTGAGCAGTCACTGTCCGCTGCTTTGCCACCTGCACCTTCCTTGCTGTTGACACGTTGCTGTTCTGCTCATGCCGCATCCTCAAGTTCCACATTCACTGTCTCGTCCTCCAGCCACCTCTGAAGATGTGTGTTTACACATGAACTCACACCCAGACCCAGTTTCCTATGCCTTTAAAAAAGCGAGACGGTGAATATGTTGCTTTTTCGTGCCCGGAAGGTACTGTGATCAGAACAGTACTAACGACCCTTCTGTGCTGAGTGTTCCCTCATGACCCGCACGGCCTTTGCCCTCTACCCGCTGAGCTAAGAGGCTGCCTTCCCAGTAGTTGTTGGGCACAGTAGTGAAAAAACAAGAGGATCGTGTAAACAAACATCAAAGGGGAGGCCAAGAACCGTGTCTGATTGGCTGTTCCGAACTCTTGCTTAAGTCTAATTAGCGTCCTTAACTCTTGGGGATTCCTTTGGCTGAGAAACTGGGGCTCTTCCCCCAGAACACAGTGTTGTGCGTAGAATTTTGAGAAGTTCGCAGACCTCCTGGAGCTCATCTGTGGAGTCCACCAGGGGTCTGTGGGTCCGAGTGAGAATTTTTGTCTGGGTCTCTGTTAGAGAATTTCAACGAGATCATTATTTTGATGACTGACCCCATTTCCATGGTGTAAGTGCTCCTACCAGAGGGTGTGTGGATATTGCCATGCCTGTTTGAACGAATGGGAAAGTAATTTTTTTAACAGTTGATTAAGATTCCAACACTAGACGTAGTTTTATCACTGACCGCCACACTGGGAAATTTCTAAAGAGGACTGGCCTCCGACCTCTGATTTGGCTACAGGACAGAAATGAGCCCACCTGCCCACCCTGTTACCCCCTAGTGATGCCTGTGTATATGTTTATCTTTTCTGACTTTTCAGAATGTTTTTCAGCATTTTTTAATCTTCCCCTCCATGGTAGCCCTCTGAAGTAGCTACCGCACATGCCATTAAGACCACTTAAAGGAGGATGAGGCGTGAACAGGTGAGTGCGGGTGACCAACAGCTCCCAGTGCCTTGTGTTAGGGCGCACGGCTCCTGCGAGGTGGCCAAGCTCTTCTGTGCCCAAAGTCCAGAGCGCTCACTGAATGGCGGGCCTGTTCCAGGCCACCGTCATCTCTGGTCACACCCTCGTGCAGCGTCAGAGTTGTCCCTGTTATGTCAAGATATAGCATGAGACATCTCAAAAAGTCTCATAGAAATCCCTAAGTTGCTAACAAAAATCTCAATATTTTAAACAGACTATCCCTGTGTCTCTAATAAAGATGTGAGAGGTCAGCCAACTGACCACGTATTGTTCTCTCTCATGCTTGTCAGGCAGAAGGGCAACAACCGCAGTGTAATATCTGGAAGCGCAGCTATTATATCGCTTTTTAATGTTTCAGCATTTCCCAGCTAAAAGGTTGCTATAATCCAGTGAACCTTTCTATTAAATAGGTATTTCTCAGCTTCCTGCCAGGTTTAACTACTTGGCTATGGGTAATTACTCCGTGTACAGTGCGGTCTCCCCGAGGATTAATGAACACGGCGAGTGCCCACAGCAGAGCCGAGCTGGGGCTGCAGCGGGGGTCGGCGCCCGGGCTGATACGGAGCTCAAACATTCTAATGCACTTCGAGTTCCAGTTCCCGTGGGGTTCACGGTCAAATGCTGCAATAGAACCCACAATTCTGTTTGATTAATTCTAAGGCACACATTTTTTTTCATATCTTAACATATCCAAAATTGGTTCTTTTACAAACAATGGTATATCATAACTGAATTGATGGCATTTTGTTTCTTAGTGATAGATAAACTAATGTATCTTATAGTTAGTATATCTGACCTTCAAGGAGATGACAGTAATTACACCTTACTTTTATACAGGACTTTATATACTAGCATCCTTTTTTTTTTTTTAAGATTTTATTTATTTACTTTTAGATCCAGGGAAAGGGAGGAAGAGGATCAGTTGCCTCTCACATGCCCCCAGTTGGGGACCTGGCCCGCAACCCAGGCATGTGCCCTGACTGGGAATCGAACTGGCAACCCATTCGCAGGCCAGCGCTCCATCCACTGAGCCATGCCAGCCAGGGCTGTATACCAGCGTCTTAATTGAACCTCAAAATCATTGTAAAACTAGAAGTAATTGGCATTTTTCCCTATTTTACAAATGAGGAAATTGAAACTCAGAACGGGTATAGACTTTCATACAGACAGCACTTCCACACACACGATCTTATTCTTTCAGAGTCAAGGTGATGGCCAAGCCTTGCCACACGAAGCCCAGCGGTTTTCCCTGAGCCTGCTTTCAGGGTACGCTAAAGCGTAAACAACAACAGCAGCCACACTCCAGGTGCCTGGTCAAGCTCTTCATGGATTTCATGTGTGCACGTTGGGTTTGCTCCTTGAAACGTAAAAAGGCTTCAGTGCAGTCTCTAATCGTGTGACGTGAAAAATTATGATGATCGTAATTGCCGCTTTACCTTGAGTGTCTTTAATTATTTCAGTAACCAGTCTAGTTCCTTCTCAGAGAGGTTTTGGGCCAAAGCATAGTGAGTATCAGAGTATCAAACAGAAGGGAAAAAGCTTCCTTGTTACACTTATCACCTGACATTTATTTTGCACCAGGTGTGGTCAATTCCACACACGCATTAATTGGCATCAACTGAAGGACTGAGCAGGGAAAGCTTTTTAACATCATCTTTATTCACTTATCCCTGAAATATTCCTGTCGTGCTCCTCCGAGAAAAGCGGGGCTTAATGGCTCGAACTTTGTATAAGTCGCCATAGTTACTGGGCATTTGCAGCATTTCATTTACTGTTTTTACTTTCATATATAAATTCTTCACACTTTCCTTCCCTGTGTTTTATGGTGTTACTTTGTCTTGCACCGTGATAAATGTCATTGTTTTACACTTGTCACCCTCTCCTCCTGAGAGCCCAGGTGCAGGACGGGCCCCCAGGGGCCCCGTTCCTCCCTCTGGCAGGGGGACCGGCCACAGGCAGCGTGCTCCGTCACGCCAGGACAGACTCTTTCTTTTCATTGTCGGCCTATGTGCTCAGAAGGAATGACTGTAACTTCGCATTAAAATACTGAGGTTAAAAACCGGACGGAACCATCCAAGAGGCCGCCCCGCAACCCGCACTGGCCTCATGGCAGAACTCCAGGCCCTCAGGGTGGCCGTCCCTCGTGGGGAAATGACCATCTGAACCCAGCGTGGGGGACTGCGAGGGCATGAAGGGACAGGGAGGTAGCTTTCGGGGGCTGCAGCAGCCAGTGCACCCCCCACACTGCTGCTGGGATTAATTTTCCCTCTCACTTGGGGAGCCGTCCTGGTTTCCATTTTAATATTTAGAAGGTAAGTTCGGTTGATGGACACTTTGTGTAATAAAAGGCTGTTTTAAAGTACCCACGCAGGATAAAAAGTGGCGCCCCAGGGCCGGAGGCTTGCACGGAGTACATTTGTGGGGCCCAAAGCTTAGTCCTGGATACGTTCATAGCACTTTAGCTGCGTTTGTGAGTTTGGAACCTTTCCAAACAAAGAAGAGAAAGACATATATTATTGTTTATAATCTGCTTTATTCCACCGAACCTTGACTGAACAGACTTGTGGATTGCTGTTTAAATCCCCCAGTGCCTTTAACTACCGATAGGGAAAGTGGTTAATGCGCATTCGAAACGAGGCTTGGCATCCACTCCAGGAAATCACTTTAATTGAGAAGCATTAAATGTTAAAATGATTCTGAAAAAAATAATAAAGCCAGCACACACACTGAGTATAAAAGTCCAGGCCCATCAGTAACACAGGTTCCTGGTTCCAGCCTTTAAGCCCCACAGCTGACAGGTGTCGAGAAAGTGACTCTCGACTCCCTAGGTCGCTTTGCACAGGCCGGAGGCCACCCATCCCTGGCCATCCCCGCCTCCACTTCAGAGGCGGGGAGGGAGCTGGCAACTCCACAGATGTTTGTTTTTCTGGAATGATGAGCTAGTCCCAGGTGACTAAAATAGAAGATTTAACCCCAGAGTCCTTGCCCGGGTTTTCCATTGCTGTGCTGAAGCCATCTGTTGAAACCTATTTACCATGCTAATGGCCTTTTATTTAACTGCTTATTTCCAGCTGCGAGTGTGTGCCAAGACTACTCTTCGGGGTCTGTATTTTATCTTTCAGGAAGCAGTTCCCAGCCGTCAGCCTTTCCAAAACCCCCAAGCCCCTCCCAACCAACAGGAGATCCTGGCCCAGGGCTGGCAAGCAAGCGAGAGAAAGATAAATCTTTAAAAACAGATACCCTCCCCCAGCTCCGGAGACAGCCCCGCCCAGAAAGCTCTGGCAGGTCCAGGGGTCCGCTGAACCACCCCAGGCGTGACTAAGTCGCGGGGTCACGCTTCTCTCCTAGGAGCCCCTTTCTTGAGAGGGGTCACGTGCATGCCAGCAGGGACAGCTTCTGTGACTCATTCATTTAATTACAGAACAACAGCCCAGTTAATAACACACCTAAATTCAATGTTTGTATTTAACGGGAGAGGGCCAAAGGAAAGGGTTTCAAAAGGAAAATCCTGAAATCACAGTGGACAAAAACGAGAGAATAAAAGGAATGAAAAAGTCATCAAGAGAAAATCAAAAGCCCCCGCCTGCCTCTCAGAAGGGATGTGATGTGCTTGCCCCAGGCCAGAGCTGCTGGTGTGAAGACCTTTATTTAATAGCCTGGATGTGTTCTTTTTATTACTCCTTTTAGAAGAATGATAGTAAAAAAGTTTCCTCTTCCTAATGATTTGGCTCATTTTATAAACATTGGGGTTTTTCTCCTCCTTCCTAACTC